TGATTAGGTTTTATACACTTACTCTCTTTGCTATCCCTATCTACGTCTTTCTGTATCCATGACACATCAATTCCCAACTTAAATCTAGTTCCTAAAATAGTCCCTAGGATTACGTACATTTTTAAATTCTATGATTAATAAATATAACCTCAAACTTTTTTCTTGTACTTTTAAATGGATAATTAATTAACCACTGTTTCAAATTCACAAAGTTTATAATGTGTTTTTAAAATATTCACCGTTAAAACTATTCGAAAGTTCGTTCTTCGTAAAAAGCGTTTTAAGAATCTTGATGAACGAGTTTTTACAGTAAATTATTCTTGAAATTGTTTTTAACCCTTAAATTGTTTTTGTAGTTAAATAATTAATTCTTCGCACTCTATGAATCTTTTATATAATTTTTCCAACAACTCCAACACGTTTTTACCATTATAAATTTCTTAAATGAAATCAGAAATGTAAATTTACTTGTATAATAATATGCTTTCTTTTTATTTACTGATTATCACTGTCGTGACAGTAGTGTTACTGTATTGGAGCATAAAGAATTAATATTAATTAAATACATTTATATGACAATGGGATAAAAAATATGATGAAATTTCCCCTTGTATGAGGGCTGAATATTTTAAAATTTATCTCGTAACTCTATGACTATAAAGAAGCTTCTTGTGATGTTTTTGACGTGCGGGAAACGATACATGATAAAATGCTCGGAAGGTAACTATAGTAAACAAAAGTTTTTCTCCGACGTGCTTTATCAGCGAATATTTATTTCTTTGTAAACCATTTCTCATTCATTGTCGGTCATTTTTCATCTCATCGAAACCATTTTTCATCTCCTCGAAGATACACTTGAGACAATCTGGCATTGGGAATAAATGATAAGGAAAAATATAAGTTCTATCTCTACCAAACGTGATAGCCTAAGATCTAAAAACTTTTTTGAAATTGTACGAGTAATACTCCTAAACTTAATAAACAAAATTCGAATATTCGACCATAGAAATTCGATATTTCGATTTAAATTTTAAATACAAATTTTTGTCTAAATTCAGGAATAATATTTATCTTCCTATTTTTAATTAAACGTATTATTAATAAAAATATTAATCACAAAGCAGTAGAGTATTCGATATTTGTTATAAGATTTATTGTATTTACTCCTAAACTTATATAAACAAAATTCGAATATTCAGCATAGAAATTCGATATTTCGATTAAAATTTTGAATAAAAATTTTTGTCTAATTCAGGATCAATATTTATCTTTTTATTTTTAATTAAAGCTATTATTAATAAAAATATTAATTACAAAGCAGTAGAATATTCGATATTTGTTATAAGATTTATTGCCTTTACTCCTAAACTTATATAAACAAAATTCGAATATTCGACATAGAAATCCGATATTTCGATTTAAATTTTGAACATAAATTTACTTTTTTATTTTTAATTAATGCTATTATTAATAAAAATGTTAATCACAAAGCAGTAGAACATTCGATATTTGTTATAATATTTATTGTATTTAAATACCATGGTTCTATGCAGTTCACGTTAATATCGATATATTATTTAAATAAACACCATTATTCGTAACAAGCAGTATTAATATATTTTAATTGGAGTATCTTTCGCTGAGTAATCCTATTATCTACGTTTATTTATGTAAAATGCAGTCTGCACGGTGTATATTAATTATTTATTACATTTACGAATACGCAGAAATATTTGCGATGCTTGCATTGAAGCAGAGCGAAAAAATCATAAGCTTGTTGTTACAAGGCCAATTTGTTTAACTATATTTACTCTTCATGCTCTCAAATCAATCCCTCATCAATCTGTTCTCACTCTCCTATTCTTGTCGCCCGGCAACCACCCCGATACGCCAACTTGCGTCCATTCGATCGTCGCGTCCATGTAAACCAACCTTAACTACCCCTAATAATTAATAATTAAACGTGCAATAAAACTGCTTAATCACTAACCACATAACGACACGTTATTATCCTCATACGTACATTAAATTGTCTAGAAAAAAAGTATAGTTTTTCAAAATAATATTCAAATTTCATTATACAGCTTTATTTAAAATTTACTAAAATTAAATCAGATCTAATGAAAAGGAAAAAATATTATTGTAATCTATGGGTTGTTTTATTGATTTAATATTACGTTGGAAATATCATTAATATTAACATTACTATAAAAATCTGAGATCTCAAAATTTATTAATTTATTAGAGATGTTTGCAGTATTATATTTCTTTTATATGAAGGCTGACCTATATTGAATTATTTAGAACAGTTAACAAAATGTCGATATTCATTGCATCTCATTTATTCTGACATAAATACTCAAAATATAGTTGTTGATAGTAAATGTATAACAAACAGCTCATAGAATTTTCCAAATTTCTTAAAGGTTGCCAATATACTTTTGAAGAATTGTAATAATTGATTTCTTTTTCTCTTGTTTTTATTGACCAAAATTGATAATTGAACAATAAAAAAAAAATTGTTAATAATTTCCACCAGTTATCGATAAGCAACTGAAGAATTATAAATTATTTTGTGGTTTTTGAATTTTATAATATTAAACTATGAAATCTAACGTTCGATTTGTTCGAAACATTAATAATTAATTTACTCAATCCTTTTTTTCAAAAATTGTATCAAATGACTATATCTCATTTATTCTGACATAAATACTCAAAATGTGGTTGTTGATAGTAAATGTGTAACAAACAGATTGCAAAATCTTCTAAATTTCTTAAAGGTTGCCAACTTATTTTTGAAGAATTGTAATAACTGGTTCCTTTTTCTCTTGTTTTTATTTATCAAAATTGATAATAGAACAATAAAAAAAATTGTTAATAATTTCCATCAGTCATCGATAGACAACTGAAGAATAATAAATTATTTTGTGGTTTCTGAATTTTGTAATATTAAACTATAAAATCTAACGTTTAATTTGTTCAAAACATTAATAATTAATTTAGTCAATTTTTTCCTTCAAAAATTGTATCAAATCACTATATTCTCTTATTATTCTTATTTACCAAAATTATTAACGGATGAATAAATAATTCGTTAATAATTTTCAATAGTAATTGGCGTGCAATAAAAAATTTGTATCGAATTTCCTGACGCACGCCATCTTGACATTCTAAACCGACATAACCTACAATAAACACCAGTTTCGAATTCGCGGCATCTATAGGAGGATTTAAATACTAAACTATTGAAACCCAATATTTTATTTGCTTCGAGATACCACCAATCAATCATTTAATTAAATTCCCTTGCAATGTTTACGATTTTATCATGCACAGAGTGTATTTCCAGTAAAACCAATTGGCGCACTGACACACTGGCTACTTTTTTATGCACAACACGTTCATTCTACAAGCTGCAAGGCACAAATCGCAATCAGAATTATTTAACTATTCACCACGGCGTCGATGCTGAATTTTTCAACCCAGTTCGTATTAACTGGCAACGCAACTAATCGATTCCATGAAATTTTTACGTCATCCGGTTCGCTATCGTATTTTACGAGAATTCGGCTAATCGCTTACCAATTTTGCGTTCGGTCGTCGGTGAAAAGTAACGTTTGGCGATTCGAGAGTCGATAAAACCGAAATTTCACGGCGATACAAATAAAGTTATCACGTAGTTTTGATACGTATAGAAATATCGATTGAATATACGATTATTAATTATTACGTCACGACTGGAATAAAGTTTGGGGTATCCATGAAATCGTTTAGGTATCATTTATGTATCATATATGTCAGATACCATTTTTTTATATCTTAGAGATATCTAAATATTTTTTAATTGTAATTTTAGGTGTTCAAATGTTGTTTTAAGTAATACGTATATCTAGGTTGTTATTAATATTCTTTATTTATTTTATTCTGATTTGTTTAATATCAAAATTTGTTAGATTAAAGTTTGTGAGATAATATTTCGTTAAATGAAATTCATACAAAAATAAATTTAATAATATTCAATTTAAGACATACTTTTTTTTTGAAGATATATTTCTTTTGTCAATTTGCAAAAATTATAATGTAATAAAGAAATATAACCAAGAAATAAAAAATTACTTTAAAAATCTTAGTAATTACACATTCAATAATTATATTTAATTATAAAATGAATATAAGCAGTTAATTATTAAATATTCATGAAAATCTCATTGAATTTTCAATAACCACAGAATATAGATAATACAGTAATTCCTGCTTTTTAATATCTTAGTGATAATTATTCCAGACGTGACAGTCTGCACTTAACATGGCCGTGTTCTGTAAACTAAACTTCGCATTTAATTCAAATTAAGTTTACATTGTTTAGCATAACTTTGAATACAATACCTAAAGAGTCCCTTTTAACGCAACGTTTATTCTGTGAAGATATTCTGTTAAAAATACTTTGAACCCAACATCCTTTCCTGTTTAAAAGCTTTGAACAAGTTTGAGCATGGAATTTTTGAAAAACCACATTATTATTATTCTCATTTAACATTAGTATACTATCAGCATACCAAATGATATTATTCACTTATTATGCTATTTCCAGAAAAGTGTAAAATAATAATAACAAGTTAATATTATATAATATTGTAACTGTGAACTATAGATCACATTACTATTATACTGATGTAATATTAGTATACTATTGACGTACTAAATAATATTTCTCACTTATTATACTATTTCCAGAAAAGTGTAAAATAAGAATAGCAAGTTAATATTATATAATATTGTAACTGTGAACTATAGACCACATTACTATTATACTGATTGAATATTAGTATACTATAAATATACTAAATAATATTAGTCACTCATTATGCTATTTCCAGAAAAATGTAAAATAGGAATAACAACAATATTGTATAATATTGTAACTGTGAACTATAGACCATATTACTATTATACTAATCTAATATTAGTATACTATTAACATACTAAATAATATTACTCACTTATTATGCCATTTCCAGAAAACTGTAAAATAAGAATAGCAAGTTAATATTATATAATATTGTAACTGTGAACTGTAGACCACATTACTATTATACTGATGTAATATTAGTATACTATTGACATACTAAATAATATTACTCACTTATTATGCTATTTCTAGAAAAGTGTAAAATAAGAATAACAACTTAATATTATATAATATTGTAATTGTGAACTATAGACCACATTATTATTATACTAATCTAATATTAGTATACTATTAACATACTAAATAACATTAGTCACTTCTTATATGCTCTCTTTAGAAAAGTGAAGCAAAAATAATAACTTAATATTACGTAATATTGTAACTATGTACTGTAAACCACATTACTATTATACTAATTTAATATTAGTATACTATTAACATACTAAATAACATTAGTCACTTCCTATACTCTCTCTTCAGAAAAGTGAAACATAAAAACAATAACTGAATAATACGTAATATTATATATAAATTAATTTAAAAGTATGCTTGAATATAAATTAATTTAAACTAACTATGGCAACAAAATGATACTACAAGAATTCTTACTGTACTCTCTTTAAAAGGAGGCAAAAGATAAAACGGATAAAGGGTATAGAGGATAAAAACAGTTCAAAGGAAGTAAATTATAACGAAATATATTAAAAGTTCCTAATTGTAAAATTCAACGCGGAACAGCGTAAAAGTTCCAACTCTTCAATCCACAAAGGCTACTCAAGAACTCTGACTCTTCCCTCTACACAAAGGCTACTCGAAAGCTAGCTCGCGCACGCATCTTCCACAAAATATGTACCAACACTTGCGCATCTTTCCCTGTATTTTATATTCTCTTTCGTTCTATTCAGGCAAACAGGCAGGTATTCCCAGGACACATTCGCGTCCACCCGAAACCCTGGGTAGCCTTCTTCTTTCTCACCCTAAATTCAGACGCTTGGTCCTTCCACGCATGACTGACATTGGACACTCGCAGTAAGCATTTAGGCCAAATTCTCGTTCCCACAATATTTCCTGGGTTGTAAAAGCAATGGCGGTAGTCATTTGTCAAGATAGTCCACAAGGAATTATTAGAAAATGGAAAATTTGATATTCTGGCAACTAAAGCAATTTAATGGCTGCTATAGTAATTGTTTATCGTGATGTTACAATTTTTGCAACAGCATTTGCAAAAGTTCTATCTCTTTTACATAATTTTTGTAATGTCTGTTATATCAGTTGTATTATGTCAACATAATTCGTAATTCATACAATTTTCTAATGGTTGTAGTACAAAATTATATCTTTGTAATAGTCGTACTACGAAATGATTTTTCCTAATAGCTGTGGTATTCTTTTATAAAATGTCACATTCATTTTGGATCATTGGAACACCCTATATATAATGTGATAACACTCGTATTTAGTTAATTTTATTTGATTTTGCAGATAAAAGGAACATAATAAATAAAAGTTCTTATTAATATTAATATAATTTCGATTTATATAATTTTGATTAAAATAATTTTAATGCCATTTTGTATTCATTTGACTTTGATGGACAATTTTCGTATCTCAGTTTGAACTTTGTTTTAGATATTTCGTCAAGCTAAATTTTCATCCATCTTTCTAATTTTCCAAACAATTTCGCAAGAATTTATCAAATTTCCGTGATTGTTTATAAATCTGCTTTGTGAAATAAATGGGAAACAAGAGGTTTTCCGAATTGTTCAAAAAACAAATATGGAAAATTCGTATCGATCCAACTGAAAATCAATTTAACGAATAAAAGTTGACAAAAATCATAAAAATAATTTACAGAGTGAAAGAGAAATAAAATGGCTGTTGTTTCCATGTGTGTGATAGAACAGGTGCGTGTGTCTTTAAAAGTATACGTGAAAGTATAAAGGAGCAGTGAAAATTTGAATCGTTTTGAACCTGACCTAATCCTAACCTCAAAAACGTAAAACGTTTAATTAAAAATAACTCGCTAAATAATTAAATTTAAATACAATATCGAAGAATAGTGCAATATTTTTCATTTCTTAATTGAATTTCTGGTGTTTCGGTACTTTTCTTATCAAATTTATTCTTTCTGACTTTTTCTATATTACGCGAATGCAAGTGAAATGCCCATAAAAATGAAAAATGAACAGGAAAGGTTATAAAAATCATTATCATCGAGAAAATAAATAAAATTTGAAACATACTATCACAGAAAAATCATTATAGTAGGTCTTCATTAACCGAATTAATTAGTGGCAGGATAAAAGGAAAATAATTTTCTAATGGTTGTAGTACAAAATTATATCTTTGTAATAGTCGTACTACGAAATGATTTTTCCTAATAGCTGTGGTATTCTTTTATAAAATGTCACATTCATTTTGGATCATTGGAACACCCTATATATAATGTGATAACACTCGTATTTAGTTAATTTTATTTGATTTTGCAGATAAAAGGAACATAATAAATAAAAGTTCTTATTAATATTAATATAATTTCGATTTATATAATTTTGATTAAAATAATTTTAATGCCATTTTGTATTCATTTGACTTTGATGGACAATTTTCGTATCTCAGTTTGAACTTTGTTTTAGATATTTCGTCAAGCTAAATTTTCATCCATCTTTCTAATTTTCCAAACAATTTCGCAAGAATTTATCAAATTTCCGTGATTGTTTATAAATCTGCTTTGTGAAATAAATGGGAAACAAGAGGTTTTCCGAATTGTTCAAAAAACAAATATGGAAAATTCGTATCGATCCAACTGAAAATCAATTTAACGAATAAAAGTTGACAAAAATCATAAAAATAATTTACAGAGTGAAAGAGAAATAAAATGGCTGTTGTTTCCATGTGTGTGATAGAACAGGTGCGTGTGTCTTTAAAAGTATACGTGAAAGTATAAAGGAGCAGTGAAAATTTGAATCGTTTTGAACCTAACCTCACCTAACCTCAAACGACAAAAGCAACACGTTATGACTACTATTCACACTTTCAGCAAACCTATACCCTATTTCGTGTATTTCAATTGCATAAAGAACAAAAAATATTCTATATCCCATTTCAATCACTTCCATTTAATGCTTTCGATTAATACAGACTATAATTGAAAGCAATATTCAATATTTATTAAAATGAATGCAAATCCAAAACTACGCGATGATTGATACCGCAATTGATACACTAACGTATGCAATTCATATGTTACAAGTAGAATATACCGTGCTATGGTAATTCGTATTATTTTATAAAATTTACCGGTTGCGAGTGACATTTCGCCATTTCTGTTTCCACCATTTTAAATAAACCGAAGACGTGAAATGTTGGAAGCCTGGTTTCATCAATATGTAATCGTTTGTAAATGTAGGAGGCAAGGAAACGAATGTAGGATACGGGAGGTATCCGATGCAACCTCGACAGAGGAAAGTATAGGCTGGTGCAAGAAAAATAGCGGAGAGAATCAGACGCAAAAGGATCTTCGATGGCGGCAGTAGCTTACGCCCTCTTCCGTGACGGAGAATCACTATCTCTCATGGCTTCGAATCCCAGCAGGGCAGACCTGATTGCCTTTCTTCTTTTACACTTGCAATTCTGTGGTAACAAGTTGGAAAATTGTCCATCTAGCATGCGAGAACTTCCCGTGTTATTCCAGACAAACGCTTTGTCTTTTTATTGTTACGTACGATAGCGTACTGTGGCAACTGCGGTGTTAACGTTCTGATGAATTTATACGTGCGCTTTCATTTTCAAGGATTTTTCTTGCACAAGAAATAAGGCTTTACGTTAGTAATATCGTACGGTACATTTGCGCGAATTTTAAAGGAAACGAGAATTTTATTTCGAGGCCAAAATATTTGTTCGATTTTGAGAGCAGTTAATTTTCATTGGAACAAAAATGAGAAAAATATCCCAGGGCAAAGGGAACTTTATCATTTAAATCCGAGATGAGAAAAATATCGTGAGTTTGAAGAGACTTTATTATTCGAAATTGAAGATAATCGATTTTCATTGAACTGGAGACGAGAAGAATATTTTGAATTTAAGGAAATTTATTATTTCAAATTGGAAATAGTGGATTCTTCTGAATCCAGTTTTTGAAAAATAAAATAAAATAGCAGTTGGTCCTCGAGAATTGTAAATAATAATATTTAATGATTTATTTTAATTTATTAAAGTTACAATTTGTAATTGTGTTAGCGTGTCATTTTATAAAGAATCCTAAATTTTGTAAAATCCTGTGAATTTCGTGTTACTTTTCTATTGTGTTATTGATATAAGGCTTACCTACATTAGGTCATTTAGCAAATGTGATGTATGTTAGTAGGGCATGCAAGCGAGTATCATCCATTAGAGATCCTTCAGGCATACAATGTGTTTGATTATGTACTCTGTGTATAGATTTGAGGACCGTCCTTTCTAGGTGCTTGGTTCTTGTTAAATTCTTGATTGGAGCATCAGCTAATACAGTGAAATAGCTCTATAGTCTGCATTTCAGGAGTATTAACAAATTTTACATTATTTAATAATGAGATATACTCTAGCTAGAATGACATTAAAATTTTTCAGGACACTATAGGCACATATACAGGGTGGCCTGTGGATCACTTTCCATAAAAATTTAACAAATTCTAATAATTAAAAAAAGAAATTCTTTTGAGTGAAGATTCATTGCTATCAAATGTACAATTTATTAGTGTAAAATAAATCTTTGAAAGTAATTATTTATTTTATTTATTCAAATTTTAAAGCACCTTTTATTTTGTAAATAGTACCACATGCATAACATTTCAGAAAAAAAATAGAATAAATTGTTTTAAAATTGTTATACAAGTACCATTTATCATTATAATTAATGACCTGAAAGTTATGTTTACACACACAGAGGTGAATATTTCACGAACATCCAACATGTATATACATGCAATATCGAAGTTACAACGGTTAAATGATAGTATTTCACCATATCGAATTTCTTCTTCGAGATACTATCCCAGTTCATCCTATCTAGGTC